ATTAGCTTTGGCCGTTGTAGTTTACGAAACCATTGAAAAGGATACTCAAAAATCGTTAAAATACCTTGATACTATTTTCGAAAAATGCCATTCATTGGCATTAAAGGATGATTGGAATGAATTACTATACGGTCGAACTGGATATCTTTATTCTTTAATCTTTATTAGAAAGTATTGCAAAGATAATGTGGAAATTATGACAAGGATTGGGAATGAAAAATTAAAAGAAATCATTGAATTAATCATAAAGGATGGTAGGAAAAGAACAATTATTGATAACACAATTACTAGGCCAGCTTTAATGTGGAGTTGGTACGGCGATGAATATATAGGTGCCATACATGGTGTTGGTTTGTATATACATATAAATATGGGTGTGTTTATTTTGTAATCCAATTCTTTTCTTATTTTATTTCCATAATAGCTGGAATTATTACTATTATTCTTCATTGTGAAGAATTGGCTCAGCCTTACTTTGATGAATTATTTCAAACCATTGAATGGCTTGCAGGGTTAGTTCCAAAAGATAAAAATCACCCTGCAGATACTCAGTCAACTGATGATTATCTCGTTCAGTAAGTATCTTTATATCAAATCTCTCTAATTACAGTAATGTGAAAACATTATCATTCATGGCACAATTAATATTTAAAATAATAGCTTTTGCCATGGTGCACCAGGAATAGTTCCTGCTTTTTTAAAAATTTATTCTTTGTATCCAACTCATCCTTCATCTAAAAATCTTCTTTCGCATGCAATTGCTAAAACTGATTTAGTTTGGGAGCGTGGAATTTTGAGAAAAGGTGCAACAGGTCTTTGTCATAATACTCTTGGTAATGCTTATACATTTCTCATGATTTATCTTGTTACACGAGATGAAGAACAACTTAAAAGGGCGTTGGCATTTGGATTATATGGAGGTGAATGGGAAGATAAAACTCGGAAAGGTGAAATACGAGTCCCAGACCATCCATGGAGTCTTTTTGAAGGTCTTGCTGGTGGCATTGTTTATTGGGCCGATTTATTAACTGTATTAAAGGATGTTCAACAACTAGGTGTAAGTGGCATGCAAGATAAAGTAGATAAAGTAGTTGGATTTCCTTGTTTCACTGATTTGTAGATTTTATTGAAATTAAGATTTCAAAAAGTGCGTTTGCTCAATTTTAATGAAAATGACTGTATCTGTATATTCAACATTTTAATATCTATGGTCTTTAAAAAATTCCAACTGACCTAAGTCTGTTATGTACCCAAATAAGTTTAATTGCCGCGCGAAGATGTCTTATATTTAAATATTATCATAATTCG